CACACACAAGACCCTAATATTTTTGGGTCTTGATCTTCAGGAGAGGGCTCTTCTCTTTTTCTCTGATCTATCTCTGTTCCTAAACTCTAATCTTTTGTTTCCTAAAAATTAGAACTGTTGAGAGATACATCTTCTAAGAGAACCCATAGAGCGTTTTGTGGGTTGTGTTGTTTCGAGTTTCCAAACAGAACCTATGTCTTGTGCGATCTTAGCCGCATCCATTGACGCACCTGAAAGCCCTCTCCTCGTAAACCCAACCGCATACAACCCTGTTCTTCCTTTCCATCCGCTGTTTCCAACCGCTGTTTTCGGGAAACCATTCTTTGCAAAGAACTCACTCTCTTGTAGCCAATATGGTACGTTGCTTCTATAACCAGTAGCTAGTACAACTGAGTCCACGTCGAGTTGTTCTCCATTAACTAGTTCGACTCTGTTTCCGTTAAACCTTTTGATCCCTGGAACTACATCGATCTTTCCTGATCTGATCTTCTCTAAAGCTCCGATGTCAAGCACCGGAGTTTTGCCTTTCGCGCTCTTTAGCTCCATTGGACCCATCTCTGGTCGTTTTAAACCGTATTTCTCGATGTTTCCTAATACGACCCAACTCAAAACCAACAATAGTTTGTCTACGAGCCACAAAGGCAGCCATTTTAGCATCGTCATTGCAAGCTCAAACGTTGATTTTCCCATTAGTTCTCTTGGCATCACATGAACCTAAAGAACACAAAAGAAAGTAACTTTGCTCAGATTTTTTGTTTCTAAAGATTGGATTTTTGATTAGGAAAAAGTTTTGATTTTTAATGACTTACCGAGCTTCTAACGACCATGGAAGGTTTAGCGAAGTGGTTAGCTAAGTCAAGAGAAACTTCCATGCCGGAGTTTCCACAACCGACGACAAGCACTTTCTTTCCGGCGAACTTCTCGCCGGATTTGTAATCGCAAGCGTGAATTACTTCGCCGGTAAACTCAGAAAGTCCTTCAATCTCCGGCATCAGTCTCTCCGCATTCTCTCCGGTAGCCACCACAAGCCAGCGGCAAATATACTCGACTTCTGTCCGAGTCGACTCAACGTTCGACACGGTCTTGACTCGCCACAAGCCACTGGTCTCATCGAACCGAGCGCTCTGCACACACTCGTTGAACTTTGGGTTGACTTCGAACCGTGAGGCGTAAGACTCGAGGTAATCGATGAACTGACGTTTGGTCGGGTACTCCGGGAAGTCTTCCGGGAAGGGCATTTTGGGTAATTGACAAAACTGTTTAGGTAAGTGAAGCTTGAGACGGTCGTAAGTACGTTTTTGCCATAGAGAAGCAATACAATCTGCTCTTTCAAGAACAACGAAAGGAACGTTTTGTTCCCGGAGACAAGCCGCCGTTGCTAATCCCGACGGTCCTGCTCCGACGATGACCGGTCCGTTGACCCAAATGCACCGGCTAGTCGTTGGTGAGTCCTCGTGATCCATCAAACGAAACATACTCTCCATTTTTATGTTTCTTTTACGAGTTTTTGAAGGTTTTTGTAGATAGAGAGAGAGGGAATCAATGGAGTTTTTTTTTGTTGGGAAGTGGTTTTGAATTTGGAATGAAGATTGTATTTGGAGCTTATTATGCTTTATATAGAGGAAAGATGAGAGATACCATGTGGCGTTGAATATATTTTTTCTTCTATTTTATGATACTTATTAGCTATGAAGCACGGGTACTTTGTTTTGGTGCCATTTCCCGTACCGGAAATGTCTCGGAGACGGATACGGTTCGGAGACACCACCGAAACGTTCTCGAGATGTCTCTAACATGTTAGGAACGTCGACAATTAACGGGGACAAAACCTTTCGAATTTAGAGACGTTTCTCAAACGTATTATGTTAAAAATTAGTGTTTCCGTTGTTTATTATACATATTAATTATTATTTTTAAGAAAAAAAATGAAAATAAAATGTATAACATACAAAAAGTTATTATGAAATAGGGTTTCAAATTTATTATATATCTCATGTATAATCGACATTCGTTTTTTCAAATAGTCTCGATTCTTGACTCTTTACAAGTCAACATGGTTTACGTTACTCTGATCACCGTATGTTTTTCTATCTCTAATACATCTTTTTCTTGTAATTTAAGCTCTATTGTTAACGTCAAAATAAATCTAATTCTTAATTGATTGAGTGTTCTTTTATACTGAGATTTATGATGTAATTTTCT